CCACATGAGTCTTGAGGGCCAGCGTGTAAACAGCTCCGGAGTCGATGGATTCGATGGTGGCCAGCTCTCCTGGTGTTCCTCCATCAGGTCAGCCAGCCTGTGTGGGGGCGAGCAGGGCAGAAACAGGGTCACTGACATCCCAGCTCGTGGTTAAAAATGTGTTGTTATTTTACCCCGTTCCAAAGGATGATCAGTATTATGCAGGATCGATATATGCAGGTATGCAGGACTAATTGCAGGATTTAATGAATAAGAGATAGTATGGAACAATGAAACAGCTTCAATGTTGCCTTCATGCTTTGTCCTCATGCTCACAAACGAGACACTTACACCCACTTCTTTAAAACATATCATTAAAACTCATTTCAACAACCTCTTCTTAAGGCTCCAGAGTTGTACAACTGGACATGATACATAGGACTTATCCAAATTCTGACATTGGGCGTAACATGCTGCAGGGAGTTTGTTGAAATACTGTAAAGAATGCCACTGAGCCATATTTATTTTTTCAATACAACATCTTGAGCCTTTCTGAAAATCCATACAGAGACTTCAGGGCAACTGGCAACTGTGAAGTTGTAAAGTGCCTGTGTGTTTGCCTACTTTTTCTATTCTTGCATTGCACATGATCTTAACTAGTGCCGTTGCCGTAGTTACAGCAGTCCTGCATCATATTTAATTCTCATTCACCTCGATGTTGTTAATAAATTTACCAATGACTGAAAACTTGGAGAGCATCTTTCATCAGTAACAGTGTGTGTTGCACTGAGCTAAAAGTTTCAGAGTTAAGTTTAGACAGAACGAGTGCACTGACTTGTGGATGAGTCTGCCTCTGTCTCTGGGGTTCATCTTCCCCCACTCTCCTTCTTCAAAAGCTTCCTTAGCAGCAGCCACAGCCTTGTCCACGTCACTGATCTGGGCCAGGGACACGTCGCAGATGGCCTGCAGGACAGACAGATAGATAGATACAGCTCATACAATCAACCCAAAACAGACAGAAGGCTGTTTCTCCAACTAGAAGCAAAAATAATCCCTGAGGGGAAGTTCAATTTTTTCACTCTGCTGCACACAAATAGGCCGAAATACACAGACGTCCACAAACATGACTCTATGGGCATGCACTAATGGAGATATGTTATAGTAAGGGGCTGCATATGAAAGAGCACCCGATGCAATTGGGGGGGTTCAGTGCTGAAGTGCAACCCAGGAGTGGTCCTCAGGAAAGAACTGGCACCTCCTGCTACCAGACCAATTTCCAGACACAACAAGACTAGAACCGCCTGCCCTCCGGTTCCCAACTCAAGTCCCTGCAGACTGAGCCTCTGCCCCCCACAAATGGATACCTACTCTTTCAAAGTAAGGCGACTAATGATTGTGATTACTGTCTTTTTAATTCAACTTTCGACAGTAAAATCTACATGATATTAAACTGGCTGACTTGACATTTCATTACCTGCAAACCATTAACCTCTTATAAGGATGGAGATTTAAAGACGAGTTTAGAAGGGAAAAAATGACCCAGATAGAAATGATACTGTCATATTATTTTAGTCTTCATTCAGTATTTATTTTCAGCCTGTGCTCTCTTCCTCACCGTGCCGTCAGTGGGGTTGATGGTTTTGTAGGTCTTTCCTCCTTCTGCATCCACAAACTCTCCATTGATGAACAGCTGATGGGGCATCTTAACGGTCATGTTGTTGATGCTTTTCTCCACCTGAGTGGTTTCAAACACACTGGTCAGCATGTTGTCTTCCCTAAACGCCAAAAAAGTAAACAAATACCCGCCGACACAAAAAAAAACAGCTCCTACATAGTCAACAACCAGCTCCTCTTCACCGTCCTCTCCTCGGAGCTTTCTGACGCACATCTGGATGAAATCCTGGAACGTGGTGTTCATGTACACGTCCTCGTTCTGCAGCTGGCAGGTGCTGGCTCGGAGCTTCACCTCCTCCACAAGCCTGCAGGCGGCGACAGGAGGGAGAAGAGTATTACAAACAGGGAAGCAGCTAGAGAATTAATAGTTGGGATTCCTGATGTTTTCTAATGTGCTGACTGAATAAAGTAAAATGTTAACACCCTGTTTTACTCAAGTTATTTGCCAATATATTTATTTTAATTACCAAATAAAATATATTGGCATCAAAAAAGTTGAAACGGTTACATTCTTAAGCTATGCATGCAGCTCTCTGAGGGTGTGCTTAGGTACTCTGTTTAGTAAATGTGGATATAGAGAGCTGTTTGTGCTGCAAAGATTTGAGAAATATGCAATATTGAGAAACAATGATCTTGAGAATACTTCAAGTTCACAACAGCTGCAGAAGAAAAAACAACAATTAACATTTCTCTTTCAAGCCCTCGCACGACAGCAACCAGAAGTCATTGCAATTTTTTACTTTACTAATAATACTTCTAGTTGCACAAGAAATATATTGTGTAACAATCAACTTGCATGAGATACGTGCATGTAAGAATCGGTTGATTGACTTTCTAACTTCTGTTTTTTTTCTTTTTTGTCAGCATATAGTGTCAAAGCTCTGTCATTGTTTTCTTGCAGTTATGGTAATTATTTTTTTTTTTTTATCTTTTCACAGTTTGATTCAGTTTCTAATAGGAAAGTCTCCAAATCGCCATGATACCAGATAATTCAGCTAACTTCTTATTGAGGAGGGAAATGTATCGTCCACACTGTTTTAATCACCTGACAACATCCATGGAAGCAGCACCAGACTTGAAGAAATCCGTGGAGTCTTCAATCGTACTGACGTTTGACAGAATACTCTGCCAGACTGCCTGTGAGGACAGGAAGTGAGAAACATCAGCATAGACAGTCAAACATCATTCAGCATGGAACAACTTTTCAGTAAAATGTTACTCCAGAGGCCCTACCCTCATCTGTTCAGCAAAGGTTTTCTCCTCCTCTGTGAGCTCCACAGCAGCGCTGCTTCCTGCACTGAAGTACTGTGCTGCAGCAATCATCTTCCCATCCTCGAACTGCAGATTCTTCACCATCAGCTGCAGAGAGAGAGAATGAAAATGTTTAAACAAAGAATCGAAAAGGAACAATAAATTTCACAAACCCCAGAACAACTTTGTAAAAAAGGCTTAAGCAGTAGTGTGGTAATCGTGTCACATTCAGTCAGCAAAAGTTATAAAAAAAGAGTCTATACTTTAAAGCTTCATTATAATTATCACATAAATACATAATTATAGAGATTCATATATGTATTAATTTCAAAAGTCATTTGTACCCAATATGTAGGTACGACGGAGGATTAGGGCCATGTTAAAAAAATTAATAATAATTTCGAAATTAACTTCTTATATTGTATTTCTTTTTTTTAATTAAAAAAAAAAAAGTCGTACATTTACGAGATTAAAGTCGTAAATTTACGAGATTAAATTTGGAAATTTACGACTTTAATATCGAAGGAAAAAAAAAGAAATCTAATATAAGAAATAATAAAAAGAAAATTAACATGGCCTTAATCCTCCGTCCTATGTAGGCCTAAAAATGCATAAAAGAACAATAAATAAGCCTAAATATATTTTTATTTTATAATTTAAAAAAAAGAGAACAATAAAAATGATTATGTTTGATGTCCACGAACAGGTTTATAACTTAATAATTGTAACTGAAACTGCAGCAGGTTCTTCAGACAAGCACTTTATTAGATGCAGGTATTGTTTTAATGGCAGTCCTGTTTAGATTCTACAGACCCTGTAGTGACTATCTGATGTCCACATTTATTATATTGCCTTTAGTCACTTGCATAGGTGTATGGAAGGTTGTTGACGCGTAAAAAATAAACAAATATCCGAAATTAAAGTACTTTCTGATGTTCCAGTTTATTGTCACATATGAAGCAGACAACCCGTGATGATGATATGATGAGTTGTTATTTCCGAGATTATACTGTTGTCGTACTTTTCTTATCTTAAATAGCCTACTTGCGTTGTCCTGTGTTACGTATGTTCCCACCACCTATGCCCCCGTTTCAACCAACCACCTGACCAATTAACCCAAATGATCAATTATCACCACCTAGTGTCCAAATTGAGTACATAAATAAACATATAAATTAGCAATAAATTCACTTCACACTGCTACCTTTTCTCACAAAACCACGCTGCTGCTTCTTCTAATGGTAATGTCTTCTTACCCCTCTAATATCTTGATTGCATATGTCACCATGTGCATCTACCTCTCATGACTTTGTGTTGGTTTGCTGTGGCTTTGCGGGAGGGACACGTGGGCGGGTGGGTGTTTGAGAGCCTTTATGTTTAATGTGTGTATTTTGTGCTTGACTGTCTGTATCACACTGTTACTGTTGTATTTTTGTTTTTTTGTGTTGGACCCCCCCGCCCCCCTGAGATGGTTCATCTCAAGGGGCAATCCATCAAATAAACAGAATTTCCTCACCATATAAACAAATACAATACAGAAACACACACACACACACACACACACACACACACACACTAAATTGGCTCCTACAGACCCATTATTTACAGTCTAAGGTCCAGGACCAGCTCCAGACCTGCATTTGTTACAGAGCAGCAATACGACGTCCAGTCCATAAGGTGGCGGTATGTGTCTTGATACATATTTTTCCCTGACAAAGGCTGAGAGATATCAGATACACCTCACAGACAGATACACACAGAGACTCTGCTGCTGCTGCTGCTGCTGCATGATGGCCAACACGACGCTTCAGTCATTCAACGTCTTCCTGACGGAGAGATTAACCGCAGCAGCTGTAGACATCTACGGCTTCGTAGAGAAGACAATCATAGACTACCAGGACGAGGTGTACCGAACAAAACTGGAGAACCAGAGGTTGCAGCGGCTTCTGGATTTGGTGTACAAACCGGAGATAAGGCTGCACAGGGCAGGTATGTTTGTCGACACACTGACAGCACCTTAAACACGGTCAGTCATCTAACACGCTCATAAAGTAGGACCATAAACACCGTGTGCAGTCAGCTCAGGCCTGCTGTTTGTGTGTGCATTGCAATGTTGGACGTTAGCATGTCAGGATAGCAGCTATTTCAGAGCTAATGATGGAAACGTGACATGTGAACGCTTCCTACACATCCGGGGAGTTTCCAAAATAAAACTATGAATTATTTATTCTGTTACAGTCGTTAGTTGTGTTCTTTGCTGCAAAGTAAAATACGAGTATATAGTGCTGGTCATTTTGCCACAGTGTTGCATAAATTAACCTCCCAATACAGATGTTGTAAACAGTGCAAAAAAGTGACCAAGTAACCTGATTGGACAAGAGGCCAATCAATGGGGACTTTTCACAATATAAATATCACTCCGCATCAGACATTTCAATTAAAACTGTCAATTAACATCACAGCAAACAGTCTTATACCTCAGAGTCTTATTCCACTGGTTTCCTGATAAATTAAAATATAAATAGATAGTAGTCGGTGTGTCCTAAACGACAGTAGTAAAAGGGCAAGATGTTTAGGTTGCTTGGCAACAATCCAGTTTCTGTAAAAATGTGGATCTAGTTGATTGGAGCAAAATGTTCCTGTCATTACTTTCTACTACTATTCAGCGTGTGTTTAACTGATGTGTAAAGGAGTTAGGGCTGGGCGATATATCGAGTTTTTAAGATATATTGATATATTTTCAATCCAGATATAGGTTAGGACAATATCGTTAATATCGAAATAGTTCATGTTGCATTAAAATAATGTTATACGTTTCTTCTGTAGAGCTGCCAGTTCACCTATTTCTCATCTCACTGTTTCTCCCTCTTCACCCTGCTCCTCTCTCTCTCTCTCTCTCTCTCCCTCTTCACCCTGCTCCTCTCTCTCTCTCTCTCTCTCTCCCTCTTCACCCTGCTCCTCCTCTCTCTCTCTCTCTCTCTCTCTCTCTCTCTCCCTCTTCACCCTGCTCCTCTCTCTCTCTCTCTCCCTCTTCACCCTGCTCCTCTCTCTCTCTCTCTCTCCCTCTTCACCCTGCTCCTCTCTCTTTCTCTCTCTCCCTCTTCACCCTGCTCCTCTCTCTCTCTCTCCCTCTTCACCCTGCTCCTCTCTCTTTCTCTCTATCCCTCTTCACCCTGCTCCTCTCTCTCTCTCTATCCCTCTTCACCCTGCTCCTCTTCTCTTCTCTCTCTATCCCTCTCACCCTGCTCCTCTCTCTTTCTCTCTATCCCTCTTCACCCTGCTCCTCTCTCTCTCTCTCTCCTCTTCACCTGCTCCTTTCTCTCTCCTCTCTTCACCCTGCTCCTCTCTCTTTCTCTCTCTCCCTCTTCACCCTGCTCTCTCTCTCTCTCTCTCTCTTCACCCTGCTCCTCTCTCTCTCTCTCTCTCCCTCACCCTGCTCCTCTCTCTTTCTCTCTTCCCTCTTCACCCTGCTCCTCTCTCTTTCTCTCTATCCCTCTTCACCCTGCTCCTCTCTCTCTCTCTCTCTCTTCTACTTCTCTCCTCTTCCCTGCTTCTCTCTCTATCTCCTCTCTCTCTCTCTTCCCTCTCTCTCCTCTTCCTCTCTCTCTCTCTCTCTCTCCCTCTTCACCCTCTCCCTCTTCACCCTGCTCCTCTCTCTCTCTCTCTCTCTTCACCCTGCTCCTCTCTCTCTCTCTCTTCACCCTGCTCCTCTCTCTTTCTCTCTCTCCCTCTTCACCCTGCTCCTCCTCTCTCTCTCTCTCTATCCCTCTTCACCCTGCTCCTCTCTCTTTCTCTCTATCCCTCTTCACCCTGCTCCTCTCTCTCTCTCTCTCCCTCTTCACCCTGCTCCTCTCTCTCTCTATCCCTCTTCACAATGCTCCTCTCTCTCTCTCTCCCTCTTCACCCTGCTCCTCTCTCTCTCTATCCCTCTTCACAATGCTCCTCTCTCTCTCTCTCTCTCTCTCTCTCCCCTCTTCACCCTGCTCCTCTCTCTCTCTCTCTCTCTCTCTCTCCCTCCCTCTTCACCCTGCTCCTCTCTCTCTCTATCCCTCTTCACCCTGCTCCTCTCTCTCTCTCTCTCTCTCTCCCCTCTTCACCCTGCTCCTCTCTCTCTATCCCTCTTCACCCTGCTCCTCTCTCTCTCTCTCTCTCTCTCTCCCCCTCTTCACCTGCTCCTCTCTCTCTCCCTCTCCCTCTTCACCTGCTCCTCTCTCTCTCTCTCTCTCTCTCTCTCTCTCTCTCTCTCTCCCTCTTCACCCTGCTCCTCTCTCTCTCTCTCTATCCCTCTCTCTCTCTCTCTCTCTCTTTGAGCCAAACTCAACAAACTAAATGGATAACAAAACACAGAATTGTGTTTATTTTGTTATGCAGAAAATTTATTAATTTCACAAACAGGTATTTTGTTTTCATGTACATGTTGAACTTGTGCAACTGACTGTTAATGAAAGACATATCGATATATATCAAGTATCGCCATTCAGTGAAAAAATATCGAGATATGAGTTTTGGTCCATATCGCCCAGCCTTAAAAGGAGTATCACTCTCGGGGTCATGATGTTGTACTGAATATCAACACTGCTGAGACTGGGCTGTAAAGGCCCTGCCAACTGCAGCATTGTTCCTGTGACTTTATCAAAGCAGTGCGGATATTCAGTATAACGAGACCTCTCATGTGATAGTGCTTCATTATATGATAAATGTATACAGCTTGTAAAACATATGGTCCATTGTATTGTTATAGTGTGCTTGAAGGATACATCAGTACACTTGGCATCCATACCATCCACATCACAATACCATAATTCATTATTTAAATCAACTTTTATAATTTCAAATGTTGTATCCCAAAGTTTCAGTTTGAGTGATTGGGGTCATTTCTGATCTCATTTTTTAATCAACCAACAATTGTATGCAAATGACAGTTATATCTAAGTTTTAAGGTATGTTCATTTGTTTTCATGTCCATCAATGTTTTCATGTATTTTTTAATTTCACATTTGAAAGGAGGTGAAAAACAACCCTCTGAACAAAACCAGTAACCAAGGGTTCATTTCCCCTCGATGAACTTGAGTCACTGACACAAGTAGAAAATAAAATAGCTTTAAAAGGAAGATGTTGATCCAATCGTAA